GGCCATTACTGCTGGATGACTGAGGCCAGTGATGGACTGATGGATGGATGGGTGGGGGAAGGAAAGGGAGGACAATGTGAACTGCATGATGATGGAGAGAATGTGACTGGTTTGATCCCCATGTATCTGCCTCCTGCTTCAGATGTAGATTGTGCCTCAACCCTCCTTTATCAACTGCTGTCTGGAGAAGGTTCTCTATGCATGGCGTTTTTCTTCATGTTGTCGAGGTATTCCTGTTGTGACACGGCCAAGACGGACGCCAATATTTCGTCGTCTTCCCAGTCTGTTAGGCCTGTTGCAAAACAAGAGCAACAAAACACATTATGGTTTGCTGACACAGATAAAAACATAGCCTATTATATACACCACAAGTCAAAACACTTCACACACATGACTGAAATTCTTATCTGAAGGCTTCTGCTCAAATGCTTGAAATAATTTTATAGATAACTGTATACACTACCTGTAAAACGATTTTTTTATGTTTTTAATGTGAAATGCGTCTCTTATGCTCACCAAGGCTGCATTTATTTGATCAACAATATAGTAAAAACAGTAATATTCTGAAATATGATTACATTTTAAAATAACTTAACTTGAATATATTCTAAAACGTAATTTATTCCTGGGATGGCAAAGCGATTACTCCAGTCTTCAGTGTCATAAGATCCTTCAAAAATCTAATATGCTGATTTGCTGCTCAATTATGTTGCTTAACATTTTTGTGATATATTTTGAAGGATTCTTTGATGAATAAAGTTCAAAAGAACAGCATTTATTTGAAATAGATTTTTTTAATTTTAAATGTCATTATCAGTAAATTAGATCATTTTAATACATCCTTAGTGAATAGAAGTATTAATTTCTTTGATTTCTGAAGGATACTGGAGTACACTGAAAATTCAGCTTCGCATCACTGGAATAAATTAGATTTTAAAATATATTCAAATAAAAAAATAATATTGTAATAATATTTCACAATATTACTGTTTTTAATGTATTTTTG